GCTGAGTTTCCTTCATGCTCTCCAGAGTCACCCCAAGAGCTTCTGCTGGTGTCCAGTCCAGGATATGGTATCCTGGACTCTGGCTGTGGACGTTCAATTCAATCATCGGCGAGGAGACCTTGAAGGAATTCCGTGAAATGTGGAAAGTTCATGAGTTCGAAGACCCTGAGCCCATCCGTGAGGTGAACCACTTCCGCTTTGGGAATGGAGCCCGAGAGACCTCGCACTCCGTCATTCCTATGCCGGTGGTCTTGGGAGGTCGCCGTGGAGTGATCAAAGCTGCCTTGGTCAAGGGCCGTGCGCCATTGTTGATCTCCAGAAAGGCCATGAAGACCTTACAGGCCAAGATCGACTTTGACAAGGCTGAACTCACTCTGTTTGCGGACGAAGTCAAAGTGCCTCTCCAGACCAACTCTGCTGGACAGTTCATTGTTCATCTGTTGGGAACGACCACTCCTTCAGAAGCATCCTTTGAGGAAGTCATGGAGTTGCATGAACTCCACCCTCCAGACAACCTTCCGTCTGATGAGCTGGAAGTTGATGATCCTCTCGTCCTGGAACCTTGTGAGCCAGGCGAGATCAGTGTGTGGTCGAGGATTGACGACAACATTAAGTTTGCACCTCTTACAGGGAAACAAGGTCCAAGGTGGAACCAGGTCATTCGTCGTCGAGTTAGTGACTGTGTGTCTGGCGAGGTCATTTTAGATCAAGAAATAGTTCAGCACAAGGGTAAACACCAGTATCATACGTTGATCCCGACTCGACATATCAGGGTGAAAACCAAGCTTTTCTTTCGACCGCAGGAAAAGCTGTGCCCCACTGAGTGTTTGCCTGTGCATCACCTGAGACAACTCGGGTCTCAGCTTCGGCAAGCCAACCGGTGTCCAGCATCCATGATAGGTGGTAAGAGGTTTGTCGTTGCAGAGGTATTCAGTCCCCCAAGGTTTGCACCAGTGGCCCAAGAATTTGGTTTCCATGCCAAGTCGTATGATCTGTTGAATGGTTACGACTTCTCTCGAAAGGAACACCGGGAAGCCGTTCGCCTAGAGCTGGATTCCACTCCGCCAGATTTACTGGTCCTGTGCCCGCCGTGTACCCATGAGGGTGGTTGGTGGCATTTCAATGCCTCCAAGCTTCCGCCGCATCTCGTGTTGAAGCTGAAGATGCGCAGTAGAATGTTCATACGTTTTTGTTTGGAATTGTTCGAACAACAAGTGGCAAAGGGTAGATATGCTATGTTTGAACATCCACTGGGATCCCAAGTGTGGACCTTGCCTGACATGAAGCGGTGTTTGGATAGGTTCTTCTCTACCAAGCTTCACATGTGTCGGTATGGTACGCGACTGCCCAGACATGAACAGTTCATTAGGAAGCCAACCCGCCTTCTGTTGAGTCACAAGACCATGGAGTCACTCGGTCGCGTATGCCCCGGGAAACAAGATCCCCAACATTGTTGTCATGATGTGATCGCTGGCTCAGAAAGTGGTCTGGGGTCCATCAGCAAGTATGCGGGTCAATACCCTCCAGAGTTTGTAGAAAGCGTCCTTCGTACCATTCCTGCCTTCTCACGAGTGTGGGAAGCGTCCTTGGTGCAGTGTGAGGATGAATCTCTCACTCAGGCCGTCGATGAATGTTTGGCCGCTCGTAGGGAAGATTTGACTCAACCGGAGGTCGAGGAGGCTCGAGTTCTCTCCGCTCTGCATAAATTGCACAAGAATCTAGGACGCCCGTCGAACTCGGATCTCGTGAGAGTCCTCCGACATGGGCAAGCCTCATCAAAAGCCCTGGCGCTGGCCAAGGAGTTGCCATGTGATTTCTGTAAAGCACACATCAAACCGCATGTCCCACTGCCAGCGCAGTCAGGTCGTATCACGCAGTTCAACCAAGTGGTAGGTGTAGATGTGAAGTATCTTCCAGGGTGGCTTCCTAATCAAAAGATCAAAGCCGTAAACATGGTTGATCAGAGTTCGTGTTTTCAACAGATGATTCCGTTCTTTGAGCAAGAAACCTCTCGGCTGCTCGGAAACACCTTCGCGGAGGCTTGGGTTAGATGGGCTGGACCACCTGAAGCGGTAATTGTTGACCCCGCTCAAACCATGCGTTACCAGGTTTTTTGCCCGAGAACCTGATTCTAGAACAGCAAGCCGAAGAGCGACAAAGACGTCAGCAGTCGCGTGTGTCCACGGATCGGGACATCCCAGATCCAACCACCTCTAATTCAAGAGAAGTGATGTTTGATACAATGCTGTTCAGAGTATAGACATGATAGAACTGACTTTGTTGTGTTTAGCGCCTGCCCTGGGTGAGTGCCTCAGCACTCGTCTTAGGCAGCTTAGCCGTTCAGCCTTTGCTGTTTCGAGTGCAGATGTTTTTTCTTGTCAGTGCATGTCTGTGGGATCTCTGTTGTTGAGTAATTGTGAGCATCAATGTCATGCATGTTTTTGTTTACTGTTAATGTTCATCCGAAGCTTTGCAGCAAAACTCAAGCTTTCGTGTGCGATCGACCCATCGTCATCAGAGGTCATGCCGTTGACAGAGACAGAAGCCCGCCAACTTCGTCAGTTGTTGGCAAAGGCCAGTGAACCCAGTGCTGGTGCTGAGGATGGGGAGTTTACTCTCATCCCTGAAGCGGCTCGTGATTGTCGTGGTGCCATGACGGACGGTTCAAAACGTCGTGAAGACCCCAACGTCTCCGAGCCCGGTTTCAAGCGTGTGGACGCAAAGGCCCCTTCTGGCTACTTGCAGTCCTCCAGCGCATCTCCTCCATGGAAGCTGTCTCCGGATGGACCGATGAGTTCGATGGATCATCTCGACTTGGCTCAAGAGGCATTTGAGAGTGCTAGGGTCGATGGTAAAACCATCTGTTTGCCACCAGGTGTACCGAGTGCTGAGGTGTGCACGGGACAGACCCTCATCACAGCTGGTCGCTTCAAAGGAGCGAATATGTCGTATGCCGACAAGGACCCTTCCGTGCTGCAATGCAAGCAGTGGTGCAGTTCTTGTGCCTTTTCACTGTCTGGCACGATGCGAGACTTGGCACAGTATCTTGCTTTCATGACCAGCCATGAAGTCCATTCACAGGTCTCGGACGGACCTGTCATCCCCGGTTCTGACCTGCGCCGGCAAAATAAATTGCCGAAGTGAAGTGCTGGCCTATATGATTCAGCTCGACCATCCAAGCAGTTCGCATTTTTCTTTTTCCCCAAATAGTGCTCCGCACTAAGGGGTTCTTACGGTAAGAGTTAAGCGGGTTTAGATCAGGGTTCGCGCGTGTGGCCCCGGCATTTTGCGTGGGCCGGCTCGCACAAAAGTTACTTTTCGAATTCCTCATGTCCATTTCGACTGCGCAGGCTCGCGTAAAGTGGGTGGCGCGGTTTTCGCGCTTCCGGGACAAAGCTCTCGTGCAGGTGCCGTGCTCGTTTTCGGACCTGAAGTGAATTTCGCGTGGCAGGCGCAAGGAATTCGACACATTGGAGCCTCGAAAAGGTCATTTTACGTGGCAGTTGCAAGGAATCGGAGACTTTGCAATTTTTCGTGGCAGGCGCAGTGTTTTGTGGACGTTGCAAAAACGTTGGCAGGTGTGTGTCATTCGCAGGACTGCGTTTCACGTGGCAGGCGCAGGGAATCCGCACCATGGATGCGATATTTTGAGGTGAAACGGCTGAATTCGTGAGAGGGGTCGCATTTTTGGACTTTGACCTTGAGGATGATTTTGCGTGGCCAGTGCAGCATTTCGTATGACCTGCAGGCATGATTTCGTGACAGGCACAGCATTTCTGAAACGCATTTCAAAATTTGCGAAAGCCTCGTGCAATTTGCTCATTTTGGATCTCCGATGTGCAGAGTTCGTGGCAGGCGCAGCACTTTGTGAATCTCGATGTGCAGATTTCGTGGCAGGCGCAGCACTTTGTGAATCTCGATGTGCCGATTGCGTGGCCGGCGCAGCACTTTGTGAATCTCGATGTGCAGATTTCGTGACAGGCGCGGCGCTTTGTGAATCTCGATGTGCAGATTTCGTGGCAGGCGCAGCACGTTGTGAAGCTCGATGTGCAGATTTCGTGGCAGGCGCAGTACTTTGTGAACCTCGATGTGCAGATTTCGTGGCAGGCGCAGTACTTTGTGAGGCGGAGTTGACGCCCCGTGGCGTCAGAATAGCGTCAGGAAGCGAGGGTATTTTTTGGCCTACCTCAAACGCACTTGTGGCAACCCCGTGTGGGTGAAGGCTCTGCTCAAACATGGAACCAAATACCTGGCCCCGTTGTTGTTGACTCTTTTGGAGGCGCGTGCCGCCAATCCCATTTCGCGCGGCGGCCGGGTTCTTTGGTGCCACGTGGATGCCGAGTATGATGCATGGCTTGCGTCCTGATATCCTCCACAAGCTGACCGTCTACTCTCCGGCTTCGTCGCATCCTTCACCTCGTCCCATGCGGTTGCGCTGGGGCGGCCCCTCGCATCGGAGTCGCACGCACTCGCAGCTTGCCACCGCGGAAAACACGCGCGTCTGCAGTCGTAGCTTTTTGTTTTACAACGACCTTCAAGCCATACTACTCTAGCATTTTTGGCACTACGTTGGTCGCACTCTCCTCCTTACAACCTCACGCCTGGTCCCTCTGGTCTTTCACATGCTTCCGCATCTGCTGCTCTCATCTGTGCACTCTCACATTTGTACTCTTGTATGTCTCCTCTCATACTTGTGCTTTCATCTGTGTGCTCCTTCTTTCCTTCCACGTGATGCCATGTTCCATCTGTTCCTCTTTACACTATTTGGGGTCCCTTGCCGGTGTAATTAGATAGAAAACATAGTCAGTGTCGATTTGCCATGTCTGCCATTCCCTCTTCGTTCGAGCACTTCGTCATGTTCCGCAGGGCATTTATCGCGACTCGAGGTCCGCAGGAGGAAAACGCCCGCTTGATCCACAGGGTTGGATACCTAGGAGGGTGTTTTGAGATCACTGTATCACCTGAATGCTTTCAACCCATCCTCGCATCAACCGCTCCAGGTGGCCAAAAAGGAGGCGGAGCACGGCGTCAGCGAGCAGGGACCTCAGATCATCGGAAACTCAGGTCCCTGGAGCCCTGGACCAGAGTGAGCCCTGGACCAGGCAATTCTCCCCAACAAAGATCCACAAACGAGCTAATGAGGGTACCTTCTCCTAGAGACAACTGGGTACACACACACAAACCTTTTCTGAGGGTGTAGGGTGTTTGTTGTATATATAGATATATAGTTCCAGGAAGTGTACGGAAGGCCGCTGCAGCACATTGGTCACGAGAACCAACACCATAGAATAGAATTGTTCAAGCCAAGCATTCAGGATGCTTTCCATTTTTTTGGGTACATGAATAAAAAGAACTGAAAGAAGCTACTAGGAGCTCCTGGCATCGCTCTAGGAACAAGGACGCTACTAGGGATGTACTTGAGTAGCTTCAAATCGTCGCCAGGCCGCAGTTGCAGCAGCTTTCGGATGCCCTTGACGGCCGTGCCACCGAGCTGGAGCGCCTCGGCTCGAAGAATCCACTCCCGGTCGATGCGTTCGGGGATGGGTTTGACAGGATTTGGACGCATTCGGTCGATTTGACGATTTGGGTGATGGTTTTTCGGTTTTGAAGATTAGAAACAGCCCAGAAACCACGGGTTCCAGTCCACCAGATTGGTCGGCATGTTCAGTGCGTCTGAAGTGCGCGCCGACCCAGCGGATTCACCGTCTCAATCACACAATTTTTTCACGTACAAAGGATCACTGGGCTGAAATTATGGTTTTCCACTCTTCCAAGCAATGACCAAACGCCCATATATGTCCCCGCGCTTGTCAAGAGAGTCTTCGTCAACTTGCCTTGCGGCTGAGGAATTTGACGAAACAGATCGAGGAGATCTGCGCGGGAGCGTCCCGTTCTCTGTGTGGTGTGGAGAGGGCACAGCAGTGGGGTGGAACCGGTGGAGAATGCAACCGATTGCGCACCGTCGGTGACTGCAGAGGAAACACTTTCATTGGTATCATTTGTTTGCGTACTGTATTTGTTCCGACATCGCTGCCACTCTCCGTTGGGGTTTCCAGCATCATTGGACCGCCGCTTGCGGTGTGACGCTGCAAGGAGCTGGGCCAAGTAGTCGATGAGAAAGACGGACAGCAGCAAAAGCTGCGCAAAGAGAAGGAGGCGTTGGAGGCCTGGAAACAGAGGTTCCAAGGAGTTTTCGAGGCCCAACTCTTCCTCCACCTTTCTTGTTTCGGGCCCCCTAGCCTGTGGTGGTTGGGCTGTTGGCCGATTTTTTTCCGTCCACTGAAGTGCACCTTGACGCTTCGAGGCAGAGCTCTTGAAGGTGGGCCGTGCGCATTTCAAGAAGCTCAACTCGGAGCTTGGTGGGGGGTTCTTAGTGGGTGAAGAGCCGCAGGGATCTGCCTCAGGGTGATGGGAGGACTGGATTGACCGGATCTGGGAAAGAGGGCGGAAACAGTACAATGGAGTGTTTCTTATTAACACATGGAAGAGGCACCAGAGAACCCTCTTGGGAGCCTTGGTGAGTGAAAGGCTGATGTTAAACTGAGAATGCGCCAATCAATTTGGAAGCGGAGTTCTTTGGCACCTTCTGGGGTTGCAGCAACTGTGTTGATGAGTGTGAACAGGGGTTGGCAGTTCGGGAACTCAACCAATTTCCCCAAATAGATAGAAACGGTTCTACGTTTTGAGTGGGGATCTACTTTTCTATCTATGACAATAAGCTACTAGGAACAAGTGCCTTACTAGTAGTAACAAGAAGCTTTTTTTTTTTGGAATTCTATCTATGACAGGGGGGGTCTACAAAGGTGCGCCCGAGTTCTACGCTGCGCTGTGAACTCCGAGGCGTGGAAGACATCCGAGAGGCGCGAGGGACTCCTACCCTGCGCAGGAGCAAAGGGATTTAGATCAACTTACCGACATGACACGGATGTTCGCTACTAGTAACAAGTGCATCGCTTCTAATAACAAGTGCCTTACTAGTAGTAACAAGAAGCTAGCAGAAACAATACGACATGACACGGATGTTGAGCTTCTTGAGAGTTGAGTTGCAGTCCTTTTTCCTCATGACTCGGACTCATAGGACTCATAGGACTGAGCTCTCGTCAAGCTATGTATACACACAGATGCCGCCCGTCCCAACAACGGCGAGGGAGTCGCTTCGGAACGCAGAAAATAGTTCGCTTCGGAACGCGGGAACGGTATCGCTTCGGAACGCGTGTCAGAGCTAGTAGGTTGGAGGCCATCGCTACGACTAGTCTGCACTGTCTGGTTGCTAACTGCAACCCACCCCACCCCCCACCCCCCACCCCCCACCCC